TCTTATCTTGTTGTTGAGACAAGAGAAGAGACATTGTGACAAGTTGTGGGGCCATATTTTGCTCTGCCCTAAAGATTTAAGCAATATTACTTTGAAGGAACTGTTTGATCCTAAGAAGCTGGCTTATTAATAATGCCCTGCTGGTCACCTATTTCCAGAGGCTATCCTCTCCTACCACCTTGAAATTGCCCTTGATCCTAAACACCCCCTTTTCCTAAGTAATAACATTGAGCATCTCTATTGTCTACTTAACAGGTCAGAAATATCTATCAGGTATTCAAACCTGAAACCCCTGTATAACTCATGACTTTTCTGCCTTTTGAAGTACTTTTTCTTTCTACCAAGACTTAGGTGTTCTGAGAGCAAGGGCTAAGGTTTCTATCTATCCATCTTAGCATAGAAATAAAGTGCCCAAGTTCAAGAAGCTACTTTTAAGGGTTCTTTACTAAGTACCTGTTGTCTGATGAGAGAGTTGAGAGGGAGAGAATTGAACACAGAGTTTATTTGGACACCAGCTCCAAGAGATTCTCCAAGTTCTCTAGACCCTTGGTAGGTCTGTGAGATTTCTGACAATGTGGAAACAAGCAGGCCTGAGGAGGTTGGAAAGAACATGGCCTTCACACTTTTTTGCTAGTCTTCCCTCTGAATCTAGCTCTTGGAATTTCTTAAGTTACCATCTGGCCACCTTCAGTCTCAGACAGAAGAATCCCAAGTTATATGGCTAAACTCCCTACTTGTCTTGCCTATGCTCTGGTCTGACTTGGGGCCCCACTTGGAGATGTTCCCATGTTTTTTGGTTTGGACACGTTATGTGCTATCTCTGTATTACCTGGTTGAGTTTTATATTAGGTCTAGGCCACCTACAACCTTTTTCAAAAATCACAAAAGACTAGTCAATGGGCTTTCTGGTTCTTGTACCATAAAGACATTAATGGTGAATTTCCATGAGCAATTCTAGTTGTGGCACAGGATGTGGAAATTATCTGAAATATATTTTAAAGGAGGCATTGATCTCAAATGAAAGGAGCTACTGTTCTGTGTTATATATCTAAAGTGTTGTAATAGTTATAAGGTGGACTTTGAGCCTGGAATGCATGGTTTTCAATCTATGACAGGCTAGGCATGATGGACTTACATAACTTTCAAACCAACGACCTGTTTGACAAATAATTGGACAATTCGGGTTAAGAGTGAATGACAAAATGTGGTGGGCCAAGAGGGAAGAAATTGATACAGCTACTAAGGAGCTAAGTGATGCCTGATGCAGACTATTTGTTGCTTATGAGATCAGCATTAAGAAGTACGCTCCTCTTTGTCCACAGACCATACCATAGAATTCTTAAAATCTCAAATTTGTTTAGGCCTCTTAGCAACATACTCTGTTCCAAAGGCAAAAAAATGTTGAAAGTATTTGGGAGCTTATATCTAATCCTTAAAAGATTTTAGGGTTACCTCTTCTGAGGGGGGAATGTTCAAGTAGCCAAAAGCCCCATAAAAATAAATAAATCAAAGAAGAAGAAAGAGTACATGAAGTTATCAGAAAAAAGGTGATGGGGAGATATGGAAGGAGTTGGAGGGGAGGGAGTGGGCATAGATTTGATCAGAACACCTTATATGCATATATGAAATTCTCAATAAATTATTTATTTAAATAAAAATTCTCAGATTTGCAGAACAAATGAGTCAAATCCAATCAGCTTACTACTACCTTTTCTCAAGAAATAAAATCACTCCTTGACTTACACCAATGACTATATTCATTTGGAATTCAGATCAATAGCCATTACAACTTGATTTTCACATTATCTTAAGAATAAGGATAAATAGGCCTTTCTGAATGGTTTTACATTAGACATTCAAGAGAAATTACTCATTAAACTCCTCTCTGAGAAAATGAAGTAATGAGAATATATTTGCAATATTCTGGTATCTTTTCAATAGTTTATCATTTTGGTTTTGATTCCTGTTCATGGTAACCTAACAACTAAGGCTACTGAATCAACTCCACCACCAAGCAACACTGGGATACCCTCAGTAAGCTCATTTTGAGACAGCATTCCTTTGAATCTTCGAGAACAAAATTTTTCTGAAATTGGAATGAGGGTTAAACTTCAGTCAACACGGTTTTCATTTTTTAAGTCCTATAAAGTTTGCATTAAATTCATGTACCGGGGTTGGGGAGATGACTTAGTGGGTAAAGTCCTTTCTGAAAAAAGCATAAGAACTTGAGTTCAGATCCCCAGATACCCATGTAAAAGCCACACAAGTAGTATGTACCTATTATCCCAACACTGGGCTAGGAGATTGATAGATCCCAAGGGAGAAAACCACCTCCACAAAATTGGCCTGTGATCTACACACACGGCATACATGTGCATACGCACACACATCATACACACATACAGACACAATAATAAATAAATTAAAAAAAAAACCACCACACAAATGGAGAGTGATAGAGGAAGATATCCAACCCCAACCTCTGGTACACACACACACACACACACACACACACACACACGAGCATGTCTAAGGTCTGGAAAGACAGGTCACTGGGTAAAGTTCTTTCTGTGCAAGCATGAAGACCTGAATTCAGATCCTCAGTACTCATGTAAAAGCTGGGTATTGAAGTGTGCATCTATAACCCTGGCACTGAGGGTAAATAGTAGAGACAAGAGGATCCTTGGACTTGCTAGCCAGCCAGTCTTGTCAAATTGGTGAACTTTGGGTTCAAAACATATCTCAAAACATAAGGTGGAAAGCAATTAAGGAAGACACCAAACATTGACCTCTGGTTTTCACATGCAAGTGCATACACATGCACAAAGACATACACATAAATTCACGTGTTTAGCTAATTTTGGTTGGATGATAATGATAAATATTACAAAAAAATCATTTCCCTTCTCTGATCTTTCCCACAATGAAATTCTGCAGCTTGATCCAAAACCTATAAAACGAGTTCATCTCAGTTTGGCAACAAAAGCAGGACTGAGAATGACACTTGGCTACTAGTTTGTTCCACTTGGTCATAAGTAATAAGCGCATGTAGTCATTTGTCAAATCGGTTCCCACTCATGTCACTTTGTCCCCATAGGGGTCCCTGGGCTTCAATTTATGAGCATATAATACATTTTACTTCACTTTCACTACTTTTTTTTCTTACGCGATTGTGCTAAAAACACTAAGTCTTATCATTTTACTTAAACAGATTCCAAGCTGAGCATGATGGCACATTCATTCTTGCAATCCCAGCACTTGAGAGGATAAGGCAGGACCATAGTGAGTTTGAAGCCAGCCTCTGCAGCACAGTGAGGCTCTGTCTCCAAAAAGGAAGGAAGCGAGGGAGGGAGAGAGACAAGCCAGCTCTTCCTTTCCTCTGGAGTAGAAGGAATTCTTTTCAACTAAACTAATTTGCAAATACCTTAGAAGGTCCACATAAGCATGGCATAAATAATATGATAACAACTCCCTGGATTGTTTCACAGAACATTCTGTTGTTTATTCTGTCTAGAGGAAGAGTGAGCAAGACCCCATCTACCTAACTGTTGGCCACTGCCCTCTACAAGGTCAGAAGATTTAACACCAGTGCCAAGAGGGTTTGTGTAACCCATCTGAATGGTGTGGTGGGACTGGAAGAATTGCAACAAGTAGGTGACAGCAATAAGTTGGAAGACCCTCCTTTTAGGATGTGTAGCGGAATCACTCTCCCTAAGACTTGTTTCAAGAAAAAAAGCAATAGGGGCTGGAGAGATGGCTCAGTGGTTAAGAGCACCAGCTGCTCTTACAGAGGACCCAGGACCCACACATGCCATGGTAGCTAACAATTGTCCATAACTCCAGTTCCAGGGAATCTCTCGCCCTCTTCTGGCCTACATGGGTATTGCATACATAGATGCACTCATACACATAAAGTATAAACGATGGTTTTGTTTTTTTAGTTTAAAATGAATAAAGACAATAATTAGATATCATGAAACCTATAAGAAACATTGGAGTCAATCATGTTGGCTCATACCTCAAATCCCAGCACTGGAGAGGGTGAGGTAGGAGAACTGCAATGAATTTGAGGCTGGCATGGGCTACAGAGAGTTCCAGCTCAGCCTCAGCTATACAGTAAGACCCTGTTTCAAAAAAAAAAATGAATATAATGCTCTTCACACAGTATCTGACACATGTCAAGAGATAACTGCCTCCAGTGTTCATAAATACTGTTGAGTAAGTAGATGAGGGGACAAAGGAATGAAAGAGTAATCAACCAGATAAAAGCTTGTTTATGTTCTCACATGTATTCTCCTCTAGTCTTATGCATAAGTGACAGAATGTGTTGTGCATGGTGGGGTTTAGTAATGTTTGTTAGTGGTAGCTTTGATCCCAGCGTACCCTAGAAGAAAGAGCCATGATTTGGATAATCAATACCCAGTCTATTGACAGAAGTTCTATTCTGGTTGACTAGGAGCCAGATCTTCAGATAGAGGCTAAGCCCTTATCGGGAGTTTGTTATTGAACAGTTAAAATAAAAATAAGTCCTTGAAGTGACTCGTTCAGATATCATGTACAGTTTGAACCTATCCTTGCCCCATTTACAGAGCACCTCTTTATGAGAGCCTCTTGGCCCACCTTACACATATGCAGGTTACTTTCTGAGATCCTGTTGCTAAAGAAGCATTTCATTGCTCTTTGGTAGCTGGTAGGAAACCTGAAGCATGCAACGAGGAAGGGCTCCTTGAACCCCGTCTTTTCCCAAATATCTTTCCTCTCCTAACATCACCCCTCTCCAACTAGAAGAGTGATCAGAGGGGGCAGCAGGTAAACAGTCTCAATAATTCTCTGAGAAGCTATGGAATAAGATGAACCTAAAGGCTTGGCTTTTCCAGAAAACCATACCCAAAATAATGTTCTAAATTGAACATCCCTGGTTCAGACGCCTCCTGTGGAAGGCTTCCTCAATATATTTGATAGTGGTCTGTTTCAAACAAAGAAACTGGTTTTTAACTCACCTTTTCTTTTTCTTCCAACTACTGTTCAGCTTTGGGGACATATTTCAGTTCACTTTTAATATTCTGGATCTCAGACAGGTTGACTGCAGGTCCTGGGAGTTTCTTCGCTCCTGGAATTGGCTTCTTCTCTTCCTCAGGGGATGGAGGTGCCCCCTGAAAAGAAAGGGGAAGACATTCATCTGACCACAATAAGAAGAACAATGCTAGAATATGATTCCAGCACAGTGTGTTTTTCTTCTGTTGTTCAGACAGCCTCAGAATTTCAATAAAGTTTCCTGAAGTTTGTACAGGAATGCAAAATATAATTGTGAGAAGAAAAATAAAGTCATCTCCACAAGACTTACAGAAGTTCCACGTCTAGTAACTAATAAACATTTCCAACAGTTAGAAGGACTTTTGTTTCCAAGAAAATTATCTTATAAGACCAAATTTAACTTGGTATCATACCATTCTAAGGTACCAGTTAGAAAAAATCTGTAAATCTTCAGTGCACAGATAGCTCTAACAATTAGTCCAGGAGTTCACAAAATTTTATTCCAAGCAGTGGCTGTCAGGCTTTTTTTTGTATGATGCCTTTGGGAAATATAAACAAACTGAAAAGGACATAAGGAAAATGTTTTTGAATATGGACTCTAAATCTGGGAGGGAATGAGAGAGGAGACCCAACCCTTATCTGCTGCCTTGGGAAGTGTTTTAAATTTTCTACTACTAAATAGTGGCTCAGTTTTAGGGCAGGATCAACAGCTTTTCTTTTTTGTGTGTTGGTTCCTGCAGTGCCTGATGACAGAAGTTTGCATGTATACTTGATGATTGTTTTTTAACTAATTCATTCCCTAATCAACCCACACCTTATGTGCATGCACCAAACACAAATAGAAAAGGACTATAAAACAGTAAGATCATTTGCTGTGTTTGGCTCCATCTAGTTACTGCAGAAGAAAATTGCATGCTAATGCATTCCTTCAATTTTCCAGATGTGGTAAGATCTCCCCAGCCCTGGGACTAAGGTGTTAGAAGGCACTTGATTACCTTGGCAGCCAGAAGATAGTGCCTTTGGATCAGATTATTACAGAGAAGGTAACTGAATAACCACCCCAGATCCTTAGCCCTAAAATCCATCCATTACCACAATGAGGTCATGCTTCCCACACCTGCTGGTAACCAATGACTAAATGCCACAGGATTCTCAGGGTGGGTCCATTCCTGGGAGACTGGGGCTCCTCCCAGGAACAATTGGCCCCAGAACCACAGGGAAGTCTTTGTTTCTTCCATCAACCTCCCTCTTCTTCCCCTGCATCTTGGTCTGGTTGCTCTCCTGCACCTCTTTCTCATCTTTCCCTACAAATGTTTTCCCCATTAAATATTTTGCACATCAAATGTCATCTTTGAGTCTATTTCTTGGAGGATTCAAACTAACACAGTGCCCAATGCCAAACTGTCATAGCTCCATCTGTTGACCAACAACAACTGAGTGAACTAATATATTTCAGGGGTACAAGAAACTGCACATTTGCTTCCCATGAAGAAGGGTGTTAAAGTTAGTGCCCTGTTAGTCCAAGTCTAACACCTATGTCTCATTCAAAATTGTTTAGAACCTAAAGGTAGAAAATTTTCAAGCTTCCCAAAAGTCTGACAAATTTCTTGGTAATTTGTCCTTTTTTAGAAATGTCTTTATTCCTCGAGACATTCAAAATTGGTTAAAACCTAAAGGAAGAAAGTTTTCAAGCTTTCCAAAACTCTGACAAATTTCTTGGTAATTTGTCCTTTTCAGAAATGTCTTTAAATTGTTTACTGGAGAGGATGAGTAGATGTAAAATATTGAGCTGTTATTCTTTTCCTAAGGGACAATGGGATTTTTTTAATATTCATTTAATATGAATTTGGTACAATGCTGATTAAATAGGTAGCACGTCATCCAACTAAATGATAAAGTAACAATGTAGATGCACTTGCTGTAACTATCTGGAATGTATTGTTTCTTCAGGTCAATATACAAAGCCATAGAATTGGTTTCTTCTCCTCATGCACAGACATTCATCATTTGTAGGGTAGATACAGAAGCAGTAATTAAACCTGTAAAACACCCACTTGAAGGACTAGGTATTCCAAGATGTTCTTTGCTGGGCTTCCAGGAAGGTATTTTTAACAAGGCTATAAAGTGTTGCTTTGTTTTCAATACGTGCAGCAATGAAATGAAAAATGTTTCCCCACATAAGTGCTCCCACCATTGTGAGGTGGGTAGATCTTAACAAAGAAGCATGAAGGAGAAAATGTTTCCAGTTCCTTCTGCTAAGTTCCCAGGAAAGTCATGTTCACTACTGTTGTAACATCAAAATGTGCTCTCCTGGAACATTAAACACATAAAGCCAGTATCTGTACTTATGAGTCTATGTGCAAAGATTTATAATGTGAATAGATACAGGCTAATAATGATAATATTTAATACTGAACATCTCCCTACCAGGCTATGAAGCCCACAATGGATTGTATATTCTAATCAAGATAAGACTTTGCATTTGATTTGGTAAGGTGGCATTTAATGGAAATTGTAATTGACTATAATTACTATGTTGACGCGATATTGATTCAAGAAGGGAGTATTAGTTAAGGGTGGTACATTTTAAACTGAATTTTCTCCCATCTTTTGAAAACATTAACGGAAGTCAGATTCCATTGCTTCTAAGAATTTGTTATTATAAGAATGACAGTTAATTAAGGCATGAATAAACAGGGATCCATTTGACTAATTAAGGATAGCCTTTTTTCATACATAGACCTTTGAAGCAAGCAGGGAAATGGAAGATATTCTTTAGTTTAGATTAAGAGACTGTGAGAGAAGTCTTACCAACCACAGCAGCATTCCCCATTTCAGGAACAGCTGTAGTGAGAGGAAATGCCTGTGTAGGGAATCACAGAGGCTTCACAAAACTTGCCAGTGGGGGGAAGCATTTCCCAGCTACCTCATTTTCATGCCCTTCTTTACTACCAGGTACCCTACTAAGTTTTCCCCCAGACTCTCATATGTGAGGCAATGGGGTCTGACCTACTTAGTCATGTTCAAACAGTGAAGACATAACAATATCAGCAAACACTTCTGCTGCTAGCTGTTCTGAGGTACATGTACTAACTGATTTAATCCTCACACCAACTCTACACATCTGGCATCGATTGCTCTTATCCCTGCCTGCCAATGAGACTAAGGGATAAGAAAGCCAAAAAAACAAATTGCCCCAAACCACACAACTAAGAAAGGACTGGACCAGAATTAAATATGTATTTGCATCTTGTAAAGGGACAAGATGAAAAGGAAATATTGAACAGATAATCCCAATGCACTGTTTTGTGGCTTAATAATGTTATTTTAGTCAAAAGAGAGATTTGGGAAGCTTAAAGGGGGCTTGTCAGTACTGTTTAGATCACTTCAAGCAAGCAATTGCTTCTCTTATGCAAAAGGCCAGGCCTGCATAAGGATTTGGCTAGAAAATCCTTGTGCTGGGTACACGCCAGTGTCTAAGAGGCCAAAGCACACAGAGGATGTGCTCTAGGTCTGTAGACACAGAAAAGGATTGGTCAGGGGCCACAGGTAGACAAGAGACAGCCAATGTCATAAGACCTTGTCAGACAATCAAAAACTAGGCCTGCTTTTCTGCTGGGGAACATCCATTTCTTCACCTCTAAGAGAATATCAAGATCAAAATACTTCTGAGTTTACCTGGGAAGCCAACTGGTCAGAACAGAGGTGCCCTCTTCTGGGCAGTGATGGTGCGTTACAATGCCCACTTATACTAGAATTCTCTTAATGTGAACCTTGGCAATGAGTCCCAAATCTATAATGCAAGCAATTTGGAGTTTGCAAACACAGAGAAATAAACATGGATGTGAAAGTTATTTTGAATTCACACTCCATTTTCTCATTCAAACTATGCCACAGAAGGTAGCTGGGGCCTCAAGTCAACCCACAAAATCCTATTTAACCCAACTTCTAGCCAAAACAAGCTGTCCAACTACTCCCCATGCAGTGTTTCTCTGAGAAATTCATTGTGAGACCCAACTCAGAGCTTGAGTCATGAAGCCACGTCCTCCCTCAGACCCCACAAGTCCTGAAAGTTCATACCTGCTTTCATTATGTAAGAGAACAGTCTTACCTCTTTCCCATGACCAGTGAACCCCAATAGGAAGGGGTGGCACAATTCACCATCCCTGGGATCTCATTCTCTTCAACTTCGCACATATAAGTGGTTATAAAGTATGTGGTCACAAATCAAGTGGTGCCTGTTCTTGGTTATTTCTTAAAGGTACCAAAACCGTCAGATTGAAGACAAGAAAGGGATGAAAGCAAAGTGCTTCCCCAGCCTCTTAAGTGGAGACACTCATGTGTAAGAAAGTACCTGTTGTACAGAGAAGAACCCAGGGCTGTCTGTTCCACAGAAGGAAGGTAAGAATGTGAGCCACCAGCACAGTTGTTACATCAGTCAATTTCATGAGAAAAGAAGGTCAAGCTACTTCATGACTAAATGGTGCTGTAGTGAAAGATACAGCTTAAGAAGAAGCCCAAGAAGAAAAAAAAATGACAAATAAATGGAAATGGAGGAAGAATTCCACTGCTGTCCCTTCTAATTTCCCATGCCTCTTTCTTAGAACCAACAGAGCAAGAGGCCTGGAGTCTTTCATGAAAATTAGATGATTAAATCAATTAACAAAGAACTCCTTATCAAACACCTACTCTACTATGCCATATCCATTATACTATTTATTCCTTCCTCACAGTGACCCTTTGAGGGATGGAAGCGATCCTGCTTGGCTAATACAGACAGACTCACATACTCGACCAAAGTTCCAGGTGGAGGGCTCATAATCATGAGCTGACCAGAAGGCAAAATTAGAAGTACCAGAATTTGATAATGTAAACAAAAAGGCTGAGTAGAGTCAGGTATTTTCAAATTGTATGTTTAAACTTTTTATTAATTAATATTGAATTACTGACTGAAATTTCAAAATTTTGTGATATTACTCAAATACTCCATCTCTTTCTCAAAAAATTACCTCTTGATAGGAGGCTGGAACCAAGGACCCAAGATTATGGTTAGAAAAATTCAAACATGAAGAGGTTATATGCAGGACAGAGTCTTATTGGGAAACTTTGAAGTAACGATACAAATCTGGAGCAAATACTTAAAAAAATTAAGAACCATTAACTTTTTAATGTCCTTGGGCCTCTTAGCAACATACTCCATTCCAAATGCCAAAAATGTCAAAAATATTTGGGAGCTTTTATCTAATCCTTAAAAGATTTTAGGGTTACCTCTTTATGGGGGGGAATGTTAGAGTAGCCAAAAGCCCCATAAAAATAAATCAATCAAAGAAGAAGAAAGAGTACATGAAGTTATCAGAAAAAAAAGTGATGGGGAGATATGGGAGGAGTTGGAGGGGAGGGAGTGGGCATGGATTTGATCAAAATACCTTATATGCATGTATGAAATTCTCAATAAATTATTTTTAAAAAAAGAAATAATTTTTATTGCTCATATCTATAAAAGAATGTTACATTTTATGGAATGAAGAATAGAAAGAGAATGTAGTTCATGTGGTAGAGCGTTTGCCTGGCATGCATGAAGCTCTGGATTCAATCCCCAGGACCACACAAACCCAAAATGAGAGTGCATTATTAATACAACATGGGTGCACTCACATACATGCAGGCAATACACTCATAGACATAAATAAAAATAATGAATAAATTTTTTTTAAAAAAATAAATACTATTGTGGTGGTTTGAATGAGAATGTCCCCCATAGGTTCTAAGTATTTGAACTCTTCGTCATCTCCAGTTAGTGGCTGTTTAGGGAAGTTTAGGAGGAAACACATCACTGGGGGTAGGCTTTACCCTTGCCCATTTCCAGTTTTACTGTGTTCCCTGTGCCTGCTTGAAGATGTGAGTGCTCAGCGTTCTGCTCCTGCTACCTCCTACCACGCCTCCCCACACCATGATGGACTCTTATCCCTTTGGAATTGTAAGCCAAATAAACTCTTCCATCTATTAAAAGAAAGAAAGAAAGAAAGAAAGAAAGAAAGAAAGAAAGAAAGAAAGAAAGAAAGAAAGAAAGAAAGAAAGAAAAGAAAATATACTTTTACATGCCCTGTGGCCTAATTTTATCTTCCTTGTCTTGTGTTAATTAAATGCCCTGAAATCTTGATTTTCCCCTGCTCAAAATTATGCTTTTCAGATTTCAGCAGAAAAGTCACATGTAAGTAAATGTGTAAAGACCTGAGGCGGGAACTCATTCCTATTGATTGCATTTGTTGTTTTAGCCACTATTTTAACAAGATACTTGAATGGGGCGGGGGCAAAAAGTGAAAAATACAGAAATGGAGAGTTGGTTGACTCCTTTGCAAATGCTTCTTTTCAAAGGACGATCAAGATGCTTGTTTATGTGTTTGTTTGAATCCAAAAGTAATTTAATGTGCTTACTTAGTAAGCTCTAATTTAGGTTAATCACCCACCAAAAGCAGTATAATACACATCCTGCTCAGTTTGATCACAATTCCTAAATGAAAACTTACCAAACCGGTCACTACCACCAGCACAAAAGCATCTGAGATGTTATGTCCTCCCCACCATGCACAAAATCAGTCAACAACTAGAAATAAAGCTTGGTATGTTCAGACAACTTTGTCAGGTGTTTAATGTTGGCTGAAAGGAAGGAAGGGGCAGAGTTTCCTGGCTATGTGAACAGGACCACTTTAGAACCTTATACACAATATGACGATTCTTTGATACAAAGCTATGTACCCTATGTTGTCCTGGAGAACCACCCTGCCTTGCCTCTGCTCTCCCTTTTTGAGGGCTCTGGAAGAAACAGGCTTTACTGAGTTCTGCTAGCTATTTTCCTCACCTCCTCTGTTTCAGTAATACACTCTTTCCTTCTGGGAGGTTGCCCAGCTCCTGGCCGAAAGGCTCCCATTGGAATATTGATATTTGCCTAAAAGAGAAAACAGATAAGTTTAGCTCAAGAAAAGTAAAAAATTACAATGACATTCTAACACAGCCATCACTGTGAGGTAAATGCTTCTGGAAAGTGCATCTTCAAAGCTTTTTATCTAGGGAAAATTGCTGTAATGACAGCGCACAAATATGCAAAGGAAAATTTCACTGCCATTTGTTACACTTTTCTGGTATTCATTCTTAGGTCTACGCAGTGATTTTACGATTCTTTATTGGGTGAAAGAATTTGAAGACAATTTGTTCTGACTGTTGTCCCCCTATGGTGCCTATTATTTTCCCCTTTCAGGGATGAGGAAGGAACACATAATCATAGGGAAGGAGGAAAGAGCATCCACAGAAGCCATCCCAGACTTTAGCTTTTCTTCAATTTCCTTCAGACTTACAAATTATTGGGAGTGAGAGTTCATAACTCCTAAGTTGCCTCCTTCTTTCCAAAACATCCTGTCATAGGTCCATCATCACCTCAGGTCTCTGAGTTGACCTCTCTTCTCTCAAGCATACTCATGTGTGGGACCATAAGGAAAAAGCAAGGTGCTATAAAATCATTATCCTTTTAAAAAGCACAACTCAATTCCCATCCTTTATTAAAATGACACATTAATCTCCATCAGTGGTAAATATAAAATTCCTTCTAGGAAACATGAATTATTTCAAATGCTAAAATATATAAGTATATGTTGACACAGTAATTTGAACTTGAGAAGTTAATATGTAAATTTGAATTTTACCCATATTTCGACTGATATGCAAAGGTGAAATGTTTAATACATGTTAAAAATGTCTTCAAACAGGAACATCACTCAAAACATGCACTCAACAGGTTTTTTAAGTAAAATCTATTTTCCCACTGAAGATAAAATGCTGCCTTATGAGTAACTGGATATGCAGATTTGAAAAGCTGAAATTTCATTTTGATGAGTGAAAATGATGCCTGCCCAAGGGGAGCAAAATATGTTATTATTTTGTGACACAGATTGCATGATTTGTGTACTACACCAAATGAAGTTAAGAAGTGTGGTGAGGGCATTTGAAACCACCTTATATTCCCTGTTTTGGAGTAATGAATAACCCATGACACAGGAAATATTCAGTGCCCATGTTCATGCAACATGGCAGATCTGTGTTCTGCATTCATACACAGCAGGCTTTCAAATTCTCCTTCATGTGCTGATCCCATAGAAAGGAAACAGATCCACAGTGTTGATGGCAAATAGCATGTTATTGTGGTGCCATTCACAGGCCCAGAAATCAAGAAGTATTTTTGATATGTGTGTATCATAAGACAGCAGTAAACAGGTCTTATGTAGTGGCAAATGTGGAACCATACTTCATGATTCCCAAAGTACTCTTTCAATAGGTTTAAAATCAGAATGTGTCTTACAAACAATGATGTATTTTAATTACATATTTATTTATTTTTATGTGTATGAGTGTTATGCCTGTATGTGTGTAAGTGCACCTGTGTCGCACAGTGCCCTTGGAGGACAGAAGAGGACATCAGATCCCCTGGAACTGGAGTTAGGACCGTTATTAGCCACCATGCAGGTGCTGGGATTCAAACCCAGGTCTTCCAGAAGAACAGCCAGTGCTCTTAACTATTAATCCATCTCTCCAGCACCCCAATGATGTATTTTACAAAACATTTTTTGAGATCATGGTCTTATTATATTTCTCAGGCTGGCCTCAGATTCATAGACTTAAGTGATCCTCCTGCTTCAGCTTCCTGAGCAACTAGAATTACAGGAACGTGTTACCACACCAGAGCATATCTTGTCATTTTAATTGACACAATTTCTTTATTTCTTAGAAGAACCTCAAATAATAGTGTTCACTGGGGCGCGGTGTGACTTGGTGATAGAGCACCCATTTAGGAGACATGAGATTCTGAGTTTTATCCAGCACCACAAAAAGCCAAAAGTTAATGAAATAAAATAACAGTAGTTCACATTTGACAGTATTTAGATTGGTTGAAATATCATAGGGGCTTGAAATAAGATGAAAATAATGTAAATAGACTCAAAGAAGATAATCTATACTAGACCAATAGATTATTTCTGCCACTAAAATTTAGATGGAAGAGAATAAAAGTCAATGTAATAACTATTTGACAGGATATTAATTAGCTAAAAGTTCAGTTAGAGCCAGGTGTGGTGTACATACCTGAAATGCCAGCAGTCAGGTGGCTGAGGCAAAAGAATTGTGAGTCTGAGCTCAGCCTGGGCTACCTAAGAGACCCTGATCTCTCCCCCCAAAAGTTTATTTAGAGCATTCCATTCAACCCATTTATTAAGCACCCACTGGAGGTATCTTCCTAAATGTGCATTTTGGTTAACATACTGTTTCTGAAAGACTTGGTTGCTAAGCCATTTAATCAAGTATATATATCTTAGCGTCAAATGTATTTTTCAGTATGTTAAAGGTGACCCTTAATAATATAATAGTTCATGCTATGGGATGATCACATTTTCTTACTTGAACACAAATTTTAGAAACTTGTGTAGCTTCTCCATGTGTGGTTTGTAGGAGTGAAACAGAGGCCAATGTTGGTAGTTGCTACAAATCCTACCTGAAAAAGGAACAGCTGCTCTAGGCCTCCTTATCTCCATTTATAATATGAATGTTGGGCTACTTCATGATATTCAAAGTTCTTAACCATGGAACCCCTCCTTTGAGTAAACTACTGTAATCTCATATAAAATGCAAAATGAGTAAAGAGGGGGGTTCACATCTATGTTCTCACAACAGTCCATCTTGTGAAGTTAAGATTATCATCTTTAGCCAGGCATGGTGGCATATGCCTGTAGTCCCAGCAGTCGGGAGGCGAGGCAGGCAGATCTCTGAATTCAAAACCAGCCTAGTCTACATAGTGAGTTCCAGGCCAGCTGGGGCGACAGGGAAACCCTGCTTCAAAAGGACCAAAAAAAGAAAAAAAAAGATTACTGATAAACATACTGAACCTCAAAGAATTTAGAATTTGTGATCAGGGTCTTAAAAAAACAGAGGTCAAATTTCCAAATCAAAGCTGCTTA